TTTTATGTATTGTTTTTAATTTGATATCTTTATTAATATTTTACTTATTATTGAATACAAATTTATTGTATTTTATTATTTATTTTATTTTATAAAACTGAACTTTTCAGTAGACTCCCATTGTGGCCTTCTAAATTCTGTTTGTTTGTATTGTTTTTAATTTAATATTATAATATTTAATTTAATAAAATTTTTAAATTTTATATCTTTTAATATTTTATTTATTATTGATTAACATTTTGTTATTTATTTTATAAAATTGGAATTTTCAGCAGATTGCCCTTACGGCTTTCGAAATTCTGTTTTTATGTCATGTTTTAATTTGATATCTTTATTAATATTTTACTTATTATTGAATTCAATTTTATATATTTTATAAAATTGACATTTTCAGTAGACTTCCCTTGTGGCCTTCTAAATTCTGTTTGTATGTATTGTTTTTAATTTTATTTAATTCATGTTTTTTATTAAATACATAATAATAAATAATAATATTTTAATTAAACAATTAAAAATAAGTCTGCACGCTTTTTGAATAGTACCTATTGTAGGATGGTCTATGTTTTAAACTCTTCTGGCACTTACGCTTCTGTATTTTGTTCTTTATAATTGGTTGGAATGATTTATGTATGTATGTATGAATGTGTTTGTTATTGCCTTAGTGTCTTAGTTGTGTCTGAGCTCACCAAGAAATTCCAGACAACTACGTTGTTGTTTGTTTGACAATAAATAAATAAATTAGTAATACATTTTATTTTATGTTGTCATGTCATGTAGACTCCCCTTTCGGGCCCCTAGCGATCCTTGGATCCCAATTTGAAAACCTTTGCCCTAGAGCATGCAATGACCATGGAAACCCAAAAATGTTGCTTGCTTTGCAATTCTGGCAACATTTGCCCATTTAAATCTCCACATTTATGCAAATCTATAAAACCCTCTCTTCCAAGCATGCACCAATAATTAAGTTTGTACTGCCCTAAAGTGATGCGTAGTCACATTGACTCCATATTTCACCATTCATGACTTTAAAGCTGCTGAAGCTTTGCATGAAGTCCCAACAAGCCCTTGAATCTAAAAAAAAATATGAAAGTACACCTAACCCAATTGTGCTCATTGTGGCAGACCATGCCATGCCTATTACAGACAACAAGGCCCGTTTAAAAGCAAATGCTATTTAAAAACTTTATAGAGTCGAGACTGCCTTTCTTTATCCATTTGAGGTGGAGTCCAGTCTGAGAAAGAGATGAGCCCAATCTAATCTCCACCGCCCCATCAGATGGGTTCACGAGAGCGCACAGATGATTAGCTCCTCAGATTAGAGGGGCTAGTTTGGACATCTGAAGACTGATTTGGTTTTGGTGAAAAGACCAGGGCTGCCCTAAAACCGCCCTGCCCCCATGACGCTTAACTTGACTAGACACCAAGGGGGTGGATTAATTGGACCAAGTCTTGTTGGTTCTTTGGGGGGAAGGGGTTGAACTGAGACCCTTCCATGAGGTTTTGGGGTGTGTGACTGTACTGAAGTGCTATCCTTTGCCGCCATGGACCAGCGTCCAACGGATGGGGCGGCCTGCACACATCCCATGATGTGGAAGGTAAGAGGAGGGGACAGCCGTCTGATTGATGTGTTTCAATAGGAGTCATTTCAGGGAGATTTGGATTAAGCTTGAGTAGGTGTGGCAGTCGAGGCTTTTACTGTATATAAAACAGCAAGCTACAGACATGAAGGTGTGCAGTATGCACAAGAAACTAGTTGTGGTTATTGGTTTTCTTGTCAAAACAAGGCAACCATTGGCTTATCACTAAAGGCACACTTGATGTGGTCTTTTTCTTTTTTTTTTTTTTTTTAACTATTATCTTTACAAAAATTGGTTGAATCTTAGGAGTGTCCTACCTAAAGGTTCATATTATTTTTCTATATATTCAAATGAATAACCATTCAAATGTTGGGGGGTAGTAAGATTTATTTTAAAGAAATTAATACTTTTATTCAGCAAGGATGCATTAAATTGATCAAAAGTGACATTAAAGTTAAGTATAATGTTAAAGAAGATTCCCGTTTCAAATTCTTTTGAACTTTCTATTTATCAAAGAATCTTGAAAGATATAGCACTGATAACAATAAATGTTTCTTGAGCAGCAAATCAGCATATTAGAATGATTTCTGAAGGATCACGTGACACTGAAGACTGGAGTAATGATGCTGAAAATTCAGCTTTGCATCACAGCAATAAATTACATTTTAAAATATATTCAATTAGAAAACAGTCATATCCGGAATATCTTGGTTCTACCATAGTGCATGTCCAAAAACATGGTAAATGATATCACAAACAATGGTTTTTGCAAATGTACCGTGGTATTCTTGAAAGTGCCTTGGAGTACCATGTAAATACCATGGTATGTGGATTCTTCTAAACCATTCACTTCTGTGTTTCTGGATTGGTTAGGAGTCTAAACGATGTCCTTTGGTCATGTGCATCTGTGTATGGTCGCGATGTTTTGTACTATCAGAAGAGAAAGTTTACAATAGATGGAATGACGTCCGCTGCAGAAACGGCACAGGAGTTCTTTTTGTGGTCTGGTGAAGTGATTATGAACCTGACCGTGAGTGACTTAAAGGTTCTGCTGTTCAAAGCGTCTGATTTCTCTCTCTGTTCCTGTAGGTGTGTCATCATCCCGACTGTCAGGAACTGAACGGTAAAAGCCCGCTGCACCTGTGTGAGTCATGTGATTCTCGCTGTCACCTGGATGAGTCTGACAGCATGCACTTTGACAGGCATCTCCGCTTCGACATACAACCACAAGGTAAATGGCCCCACGGGCACAAACACTCTTATGTGACCCTCTGCCAAACAGGTTTATGTTTTATACAAATGAGTCTCATTCAAAAGTGTTAAAAACTAGTAACTACCAATAAAATTCAATCGCCCAACAACAGATGCTGAATATTAGTATAATATAATAGCTGAATAGTAGTATAATAGTATAGTCAAAAATAGTCAAATAGTTTTTTTTTTTAATTGATATTGATTTATTTTAATAATTAAAAATACTTCAATTGATTTGATCTTTTTAAATGTTATTTACAGTATATTATATACTTGTATTTTTCTTTTTAAATATTATATATGTCTCTTTTTGATGAATCTCGAAGAATTTGTTTTATAATTTTTTTTTTTTGTACACCATCCTTGCACCATTATAACTAGTAACTACCAATAAAATTCAATCGCCCAACAACAGATGCTGAATATTAGTATAATATAATAGCTGAATAGTAGTATAATAGTATAGTCAAAAATAGTCAAATAGTTTTTTTTTAATTGATATTGATTTATTTTAATAATTAAAAATACTTCAATTGATTTGATCTTTTTAAATTTTATTTATATTATATACTTGTATTTTTCTTTTTAAATATTATATATGTCTCTTTTTGATGAATCTCGAAGAATTTGTTTTATAATTTTTTTTTTTTGTACACCATCCTTGCACCATTATGTAGTTAAGTAATTAGTTTATTAGTTCATTTACTGTTATAAAGATCAGATTTGCATTAAATCTGTGTCGTCAGGTTCTATCCTGGCGCGGAATGTGTCCACGCGTTCCTGTCCCCCTCGCACAAGCCCCCCTTCAGACCTGGATGAAGACGAAGAAGGAAGTACTGAACGAGGGTCAGTCGGTGATCCACAACATTTAAACAACTGTATGAAATCTTCCAGCATATACACACCAAGAGAGGCACAACAAATTGATGCGAAATTCAAAATGTTTTTTGAAATCAAGGTGACATGTATGAAGCGTTTGCGTTTGCGAACGAGAGTGAAATACACATGGTCAATCTGAAATTGAGCAATGGAAATAAATCACTATGGCTGCATGATGAATTGAATTAAAACCACAATCACGATATGTTACTTGGTGTGATTTAATTAGTAAAGGCTGTGAATTAAATAAATACGTCATGCGATGCAAAGTTCAAAGTGCAAGCTTCACTTAATATGATGCAGCACAACTGTTTTCAACTGATGATAATAATAAATGTTTCTTGAGCAGCAAATCAGCATATTACAAAGATTTCTGAAGGATCGTGTGACACTGAAGACTGGAGTAATGATGCTGAAAATTCAGCTTTGCATCACAGAAATAAATTACATTTTGATATATTAAAATATAAAACAGTTATTTTAAATTGTAATATTTCAGAATATTGCTGTTTTTAATCAAATAAATGCAGCCTCTATGAGCATAAGACTTCTTAAAAAAATATTTTGAACTGGTATAAAGAAAAATTAATTTTTTTTTACCTCACTGTAGTTTATTTTGAATATTGCAATGTAATCTTTTTTTAATGATAAAAAGTACAAATATTTCATGCAATCTCTCAATATGTTAGAATAAATATTCAATCACAACCACGATGTCACTTGGTGTGATTTAATTCGTAAAGGCTGTGAATTAAATAAATACCCGCGATGTCGGTTTTAAAGTGAAGCGTGGTATTGTGTTCATTTACACACGAGCAGCTCATGATCTGGTGTTTTCAGCGGTTCGGTTTGCAGTAAATGTCCCACACCAATTCACCTCTGCAAGCGCTGAGAGTTTGGGTCACTTATTATGTGAATTTCTTAAATTTGAGAAGTGAGAAGTGCTTATAAAACCATCTGTTGTCAACAAAAGAGAAGCTTTAAAGGGTTAGTTCACCCAAAAATTAAAATTCTGTCATTAATTACTCACCCTCGTGTTGTTCCAAACCCGTAAGACCTTTGTTCATCTTCGGAACATAATTTAAGATATTTTTGATGAAATCTGAAGGCTCTCTGACCCTCCCATAGACAGCAAGGTAACTACCACGTTCAAGGTCCAGAAAAGTACCAAGATGTGACAGAATTTTCATTTTTGGGTGAACTAACCCTTTAAGGACTCCCTGCTGTTTTTCTTCAAAATAAAAGCACAATAGTTTTACATTTGAAAATAATAAAATTAAAAACCAGAATTATTAATATTGTAATTTTACTTGTTCTTTTATCATTATTGCAATACTTATACTTATAATATTTCTGTATTATTTTTATTATATTTACCTGAGATTTTTTATTTTACAGTGAAATATTACTGCAATAATATTTCTTGTTTTACTTCATATTTTATTTAATAATAATAGTATTATTATTATTATCATCATCATCATCTGGATATATAATCACAGTTTTGTCTAAATTGTGCAGCCTTACAAACAAGCACAGCAAACCTGGAGCTTTTTTTAAAATCACACAAATTTTAACACAAAAATTGCAATTAGATTTTTTTCCCTCAAATTGTACAGTGATGGATTGCCATGGGCCATTGTCCTCATGTGTCTGTGGTGTTTTTCTGTCTTTTAACAGAGAGCATAAGACAGGAGGAATGAAGCTGAAAGGCAGAGAAGGAAAAAAGCCCCGGCGGCGCCACACTGATGTGAGTGCTGTCCTCCTTTCGCCAAAGGCTCATGGGAAACTTTTTAATTCTTAGCTGACTGTACTCACTGATAGTCTAAAAACAAGCACGTATAGCTCCTTTACAGCCTACATATTATATTAACATACCCTACCGATATTTTCTGTACAAGTACCTGTACAGACTTGTATGTGGGCTTCCCTATCCAACATAGCGTACAGGAAATGACACGTCTCTGAATCATCAGCAGCCCCAGGATGTGGTGGCTTGACGGATATCTTGATCTGATCACATCTAGAGTTCATTGTAAATGACTGGAAGTTGTCTGTCTGTAGCCCACCTTTGACCAGCGCTGGTCTGTCGCCCCCTATAGGACCCCAGGAAGGAGTGCTTCAGCCTCAAGTTTGACCTCAACATAGACATTGACACAGAGATCGTCCCCGCTGTCAAAAAGAAGACATTACGGTGAGATCTGTGTACCCTGGGAGTCGAGCACACAACCTTGGTGTTGCTGGGTCTGTTCTCTGCCAGCTGAGGAATAAAATCAGCTGTTTTTGTTGTGTTTCTGTTAAATAGGTAGTTGATGCTAAATGTGTCCATTGCGTAATCAATATTTTAGGTTAGAATTAATTTGAATATACAGTACTGTTCAAAGGTTTGGACACGGTAAGATTTGTTTTTTTTTAAAGAAATTCATACTTTTATTCAGCAATAATGAACTAAATTGATCAAAAGTGACATATTTATAATTTTATAATCTAATTTCTCTTACAATTCTATAAAAATTCTAGAATTCCATTATAGAATTATAAAAATCTAAAATAATTTTATAATTCTATTTCAAGTAAATGCTGTTCTTTCTATTCATCAAATAATCCGGAAAAAAAAGTGTTACTGTTTCCACAAAAATATGAAGCAGCATATGAACTGTTTTCAGTATTGATAATAAGAAGTGTTTCTTGTGCAGCAAATTAGCATATTAGAATAATTTTTAAAGAGCATGTGACGACACTGAAGACTGGAGTGATGATGCTGAAAATTCAGCTTTGATCACAGCGATAAATTATGATTATTATCGTATATTTAAATTGTATCAGTTATTTTAAATTGTAATAATATTTCAAAATATTACTTTTTCCTGTATTTTTGATCAAATAAATGCAGCCTCATAAGACTTCTTAAGAAATATTTTGAACTGTAATTTATAAAAAAGTCTTTATTTTTACCTTCACTATAGTTTATTTTAAATCTTGCAAGGTAAAAATAATTTTTTGAATTAAAAGTAAAAAAAATGCATGTAGTATCTCAATGTCATAAAAAATAATTATAAAAATTATTTTTAAAAAATGCCATACCAAAGGAAAGGCGTATTTCATGCCAGCTTACCAAATAAAAACACAGTTTCTTACGGATTTTTTGTCTTTTAAAGGTCTAAATCTTTGAAAGGGTGAAATTTCCATAACTCAGTCTTTGCTTTGTTCATTTTAGCTGTGAAGCTCATTTACTCATTTTATTGTTCTCCAGAGAGGTGCTCGGACCCATTTTTGAGCGCAAGGGCATTGAATTATCCCGAGTGGATCTGTTCCTGGACCAGTCCAACACTCCACTCTCACTCCACTTTGAGGCGTATCGTTTCGGAGGACATTACCTCAAAGTGAAAGGTAAGAGTCGTGTGGTTTAAAGCGTGACGCATCCTCCGCGGTCTACAGCTTCTTCTCATCAGCATGGTTTCCAGCTAATCACTGTAACAACTTGTCGCTTCAATCTTGCTGTCAGCATTTCCTCCCTGTTTAGGTAACCATTTCTTCCTACACATTTGCAGCATTAAAGGTTCAAAACATACACCATATCTCCGTATTACACAACACGGCAGTCATTGTGTCCACAGAACCAGACCGTTTCCCGGGAAATGAGGTGTGACCAATTACACTTCTGTTAGCTGTCATCCTTCTAAAGGAGCCTCACAGGGACATGCTGTTTTTTCAAGTAGATCATCTCATTCACACAATGCTTTTCATGATTATACAGCCATGTGCCTGTCTTTACAAATCCCCATGGCCAGATGTCTTTAATCAGATAATGCAAACACAGGCATCCCACAGGTGCTCGATGGCTGCTTGCGTAATACACCGCCTGTGACGTGAGAACGAAGCGAGGGGTTAGCATTAAAATGATTGGGACATTAGCAGCCAGACGGAAGAGTTTCATTCATGCTGAAAATCTGCCCTGTTGAAGACCTTCTGTTACTTTAATCATACTAGCAACGGATGTCAACTTATTCAGTGATAATGAATATATGATGATATTTAACAAACAATAATCCACAGTAGTGTAATTATTTTGTTTTACTTTTTTATTTAATTGTTTTTTTTCTTAGTGTTGTTGGTCAAGGTTTTTAGTCATATCTAAACACCTTGTGAACTTGTGATATTTAGTTTGGAATTCAACTCTGTTTAAACCGTAATCTACACTGTTGTAAGTATTTGCTCTTGCTCTTAATTTTTTTTATTTAATTGTTTAATTTAATTTAATTTTTTTACATGTTTATTTATTAATCTAACAGCAATTATTTCATTTTAAAAAATAACAAAAGCATAATAATATAACATTATTATTTGAGGCGTATCGTTTCGGAGGACATTACCTCAAAGTGAAAGGTAAGAGTCGTGTGGTTTAAAGCGTGACGCATCCTCCGCGGTCTACAGCTTCTTCTCATCAGCATGGTTTCCAGCTAATCACTGTGACAACTTATCGCTTCAATCTTGCTATCAGCATTTCCTCCCTGTTTAGGTAACCATTTCTTCCTACACATTTGCAGCATTAAAGGTTCAAAACATACACCATATCTCCGTATTACACAACACGGCAGTCATTGTGTCCACAGAACCAGACCGTTCCCCGGGAAATGAGGTGTGACCAATTACACTTCTGTTAGCTGTCATCCTTCTAAAGGAGCCTCACAGGGACATGCTGTTTTTTCAAGTAGATCATCTCATTCACACAATGCTTTTCATGATTATACAGCCATGTGCCTGTCTTTACAAATCCCCATGGCCAGATGTCTTTAATCAGATAATGCAAACACAGGCATCCCACAGGTGCTCGATGGCTGCTTGCGTAATACACCGCCTGTGACGTGAGAACGAAGCGAGGGGTTAGCATTAAAATGATTGGGACATTAGCAGCCAGACGGAAGAGTTTCATTCATGCTGAAAATCTGCCCTGTTGAAGACCTTCTGTTACTTTAATCATACTAGCAACGGATGTCAACTTATTCAGTGATAATGAATATATGATGATATTTAACAAACAATAATCCACAGTAGTGTAATTATTTTGTTTTACTTTTTTATTTAATTGTTTTTTTTCTTAGTGTTATTTTATTTTATTTTATTTTATTTTTAGAGACCATTTTCTGCCACATAGATCGTAGTAGGCGATTCTTTTGTTTTATTTTACTTCTTGTCATATCTGTTTTAGAAATGTGCGATTTAGTTTCACAAGACCTTTTTTCCATTTATTTTATTTTATTTTCATATGTTTCAGATACACAGCCTAATGTGCTTATGGATTTTTTTTTTAAATTATGTTTTACATCTTTGCAGCATTTCATTTTTTTCACCAAGTCCTTAATAGTGTTTTTAATCATTATTTAGTTTCACAAGACCATTTTCCACCCCTTCAAAAGTAAACAGGCTCTTTTTTTTTTTTTTTTTTTTGCCACTTTGAGACATCTGTACATAAATGATCTTTGATTGGCTAATCTATTTGCATGTACAATAAGCGTGTTTGCTGTTGGCTCTGATATCATGCATCCCTCTCTTTCTTGATTTCTAAAAACCTCAGTCCCACTTGAACGTCCTTTTAAGGTGCCTGCTTGGTGTAAATCATCTTAAACCGAACACATGACCTCATACAGGAAGTTTACTGAGTGCATCCTCCGCCTGACCCTCTGACTAATGTTGGCGATTGTTTGGGTTTTAGCTCTTTTCTGTAGAAATGGCTGGTTACTCTTTCAACATCATAGGGTTGGATTTTCCCGGCTGCACCGTGATATTCAGTAAAGCTGGATTCATGGAAAGGCAAGCCTGAACGTACTCCTGTGTGCGTGTACAAACATGGATATGCAGGCATCGGAGATGAGTGCAGACTTTAGTATTGTAGGCAAAGGCCTGTCGATGCACCTCGTGGGTTTTTACTGCGATTAGAGGTTGAATCGTCAGGCTTGGCAACAAAAACTTGAGAACAGAGCATTCAGGTCTAGGCTGTGTCGTGCCGTCAGGCTTTGCTGGGCGCTGTGTGGATGTAGGTTACATACAACAAGTCTCCACGGGTTGGACGAGTGTCACACAGGTATTACACATCAGAATCGGGTTTATTTTTCTAGTTCTTCTGTAACACTGGCCTTTATGGAAAATTCAGAGAGAATTGGGATTAGATTTACGCTTTTTCTTTTGTGATAAAAGGTTCATTTGCAACCCAAAAAGGAAAATTCTCTGCTTTTATCTTAAGAAGTTTTGCAGTAATTACGGTTTCTTCTTTGAATAGAGAAGAACAACTCAGGAAAGATATTGTGTGTCAAATTATGCAGCTTGTTTAGAAAAGGTGTGCTGTTATTCTTTAAAGCATTTTTTTTCCATCAATTTCAATACAAAGAATGGCTGTTATTTCTGTTTCTGCTTTCACAGAAGTCGCCTCTGGTATCGTTTAAGACCAGTGGTTTGGCATTCACACATTTGTTTCGTAACAGCCAGCATGAGTTTGCATCATGGTATCAATTTCCAAATTTGTAAGTTCCACCACCCACTTATTTTCCAGCAGGGTGTTCCTTATCACTCCATTACTCAATTCCCATTGTAGTTTTTCATTATATGCAAATAGCACAATGTAGCGCAAACTTTTCCCAAAAGGTATTATTTTTTTAAGAACCTTGATGGCCATATAATGTATGTAATTTTTATCATTAAATGTGACTTGGTAAAGAACCTTTTTTGTGGCATCCTGATAGATTTAAGCAATTTGTGATTTAAAAAAGAATAATAAATGAATTAAATGGCCATCAAGGTTCTGAAAAAAAAAAAGATATATGTTTTTTAAAATAATAATAATAATATTATTAAGTTCATTTATTTACTAAATATTATATTTTAGTTCTGTCAAAAGTGTAGTAAAGTATTTTTTGCCAAAACACAGCTAAAGAATTGTGTTTATTTGATACAGTAAAAACAGTAATATGATTTATTTTTTTTACAATTTAAAATAACTGTTTTCTGTTTGAATATAAATTAAAATATTGTTTATTCCTGTGATCCATCATTCTAATATGCTGATTTGCTGCACGAAAAACATTTCGTATTGTTATCAGTGTTGAAAACAGTTATGCTGCTTAATATTTTTGTGTAAACCATGATAATCAGGATTATTTGATAAATAGAACGTTCAAAAGAATACTATTTATTTGAAATATAAATATTTTATAACATAATAAAAGTCTTTATTGTCTTTTTTGATTAATTTAATGTGTCCTTGCAGAATAATAGCATTAAATTACTGACCCTAATCATTTGAACAGCAGTGTGTAGATAGATAGATAGATAGATAGATAGATAGATAGATAGAGAATACATAGATTTTCTGACAGTAGCCGTGATCTATTGTAAAGTCCGCTGATGTCCTCCGACCTCTTTGTTTCCCGCTGATGGAATTCTCAAGTCATCTCCCAACTATTCCGTTGGAATTTTTATGAGAGCTGCTGGGTTTTGTCTGTGAGCGCGTTTGACCTGTATGTGGTAACTCACCCACTGTGTCTTGCCCCCTCACCAAAGCCTGACCTTTAGAAAGGAACCCATCACCCCTGGGATTATTGGTGGGGCGGTGACACCAGGACTCCTCTTTGAGGTTTGATTGGCCAGATCCGCCCCCGGTGGGGGAGTGACCTTTGAAGCGCGAGCGTTTGATGTAGCGCCGTGACTTTTACACTTCCAGGAGCTGAAAGACGAGTATCTCACAAAAGCAGGTTTTCAGGTGAAAGTTGTGTTTTTGCCCTTGCAACTTTGATCCGGCCCTTCTGTTGACATCAAATTGCCTAAATATGATGGCCCTCTAATGGTTATGTGTATAGATATGCATATTCCAAGCACAATGCGGTTACCATTCGTGTTCAGTTTTAAGTGCACACTGGGATTCTGTCGCTTTATGCATGTCCTGTTGCATAAGCTTCATCTGTCACCTCCGAGACCTCGACTTCAGGACTCCCCTCTTCACCTTTAACCTGCGGCTCTGTTGCATTAGTCAAATAGCCTCAGATTGATAATGCTAGCTGGCATTTGGGCTGCACTGTTCACCCACACAGACACATAGTAGAGCGATCTCACCTGTCTAATGACCTGAGAGATGTATTACACAAGCCTACAGGTGATTAGATCAGAAATCCCCATGGCCCTCAGGGGCCCCCAATGTGCAGTGGTGTAGAGAAATGTGTTATTATGATAGATTTAGTGAATCTTGGTCATGTTGCGTATGCCAAACACCTCCAGCTACTAACTATATATCTATAATGTCTTAATGTCATTGCATTCGATGACAAACCAAGTGGCATCTGCATTCAAATGCTTCACTACAATGTGCAGTGGTGTAGAGAAATGTGTTATGATAGATTTAGTGAATCTTGGTCATGTTGCGTATGCCAAACACCTCCAGCTACTAACTATATATCTATAATGTCTTAATGTCATTGCATTCGATGACAAACCAAGTGGCATCTGCATTCAAATGCTTCACTAACATCACTTTTCTGAGCCATTTTTGCTCCGTGACTTTTAACTGTTTTGTTGTTGTTTTTAACTGTATTTATATTTTCAATTTAATTATTTAAATTGTAACAAACCTATTTTTTGTGAAATATTTAGTTTGAAAAGTTTGCTTTGTTTTTCTTTAAAATAAATAAGGAAATGATGTGTTTGATCAAATGTAACTCAGTCAATGGAATATCAAAGGTCTGGATAAACTGCGCAGCATCTGTCGGCTGCGACTAACTGCAGGAAATGAGCCTTTTCCTGTTCCTATTTGACCTCTCTGATAAGAGACTGGTTCAAAAGTGTATTAATATCACAGCGTAGAGGTTAGTGTCGGAGCAGACAGATTAAATCCGCATCGGTTTCCCTCTTTAAATGAAAGGATCAAGTTGTTTAATGTTTTTTTTAAGGTGTATAATAACTCTTGCGAGCTTTAGGCAAAAAAGAAAATTGCACATATGGCAGATCTCTGTTTCACAATCTCTCTCATTAAGCAAGAGAGCAATGCAAACAGTAGTAATCATTTATTTACCTGGGATATCAACAGAGAGCTCCTCTGTTAAGAGATCTTGACACAGCAAACCCCCACGTGTGATTGATGCTCTTGTGAAGTTAACACAATTACCATGCAATTAGTTTCTGACCATTAACACCCAGTGTTTGAAGACAATAGAACAAAACGTGACTTTAGCAAAAAATGGGTTTTATCTTCATGGGAAGCTATTGGGGCGTATCTAAAATGTCAGATTTCGTAGCACACATTGTGTGGAAAGCAAATTCATACCGTCTCGCATAAAACACCTTAAAATGGAGAATTAGTAGTATCTGTAACATAACATAAAGCATTTACTGAAATCTAAATGCTGTTATGTAATGTGTTTAATGTCCGTCTAAACACTTTTTCTAAAAAAGAAAAAGATTTGGTTTTAATCTCACAGGAAAACAATATTTTTACAAAAAGAAGCCAATTTTAGGACTATTTTGTGACAATTGGGCTCATTTAGCCTCAAAATGCTCATTGTAATGTGTCTAGACATTTTTCCTTTTTATTTTTTATTTTTTAATAAGCATAAAGGTTGTATGATCAGTAAATACCATGATGTGTAATTGCATTACAGTGTAAACCATATTTCATTTTAAATTTTTCTCCATTTATTTATTATACATTTTTACATTATAGTGATTATGAGATTTTTATGCATTACAGTAACATGAAATAATGCTTCACTGCATGAAAATGCTTCATTTTCATTTTAGCAAAATAATTTTTTTAAATTTCTTTTGATTTTGCTGTGAAATGTGACCTATAATCGTCCTACATTTTTATTATATACAATTAAAATCATATTTATTTCTATAATATTTATTTATTTATTTATTTATTTTAAATTTTTGCATTACAGCAATGAGGAAAATGCTTAATTGTCATGAAATTGTCACAAATGGTAGCAAAATAAAAAAAATATCTGTTTTGATTTCGGGGTAAAATGTGACCTATAATTATCCTACATTTTTATTGTATTTTATTATTACTTTCGAGACCGTTAAACACATTTGCTTCTAGGCAACATCCTTTATATTTTTGTTGGTTTTATCAATCATAAATTTGTAAAACCAACAAATACTACAATGATTGCAATACTTCACAATTTAATTCTTTGTTTAATTACAGAAATAAGAACAATAATTTTTGTTATAGTAATTAGAAAATGCTTAATTGTGATGAAAATGCTACATTTTCATCAAGGCAAATATAATTTCTTGTTTATTTTTATTTTGATGAGAAACATGACCTAGATTCACTCACTTACTTCCCTAATACTTACAGGAAGTGATCTTGTGAGTGTCTGCTGTGGGAGGGACCGGCATCTAGTGTGTGATTGTTGTGTGCTGTGATGTGGAACCTGACTTTGGAGGAGATGGGAGGAGTACATTGATGAAGTCACAAAGCAAAAAGCTTTAAAAACTACTCGCTATCATCCAGACCCTGAGCACATGTGGGGATTTTTAGCTCGTCTCTTCATTTTTGCCTCTTCTCTGGATGTTGACTGCTGAAGTTTAGAGTAGGACGTGCACTTCAGTGCTTGAGCGAGGTCAGAAAGGGCATCCAGGCTGGATCATGGTACGTTTTGGACGTCTGTCTTCATGGCACAGTTGGGATCTGCTTCGCATGGATCCTGAAAGTCTGTCTGGTGAAGCGTCTCTCAAGAGTCCATCGCCAACAAAGTGTCAGGTAAAGCAATGTAGCACCATTTATGAGTTACTTGTCCTCTTTTAAACATGATGCATGTAGCCATATTTTGAGCATTCATGTTTCATTGAATGCTTCGTCAATTATTAAACTTCTCTATAGCATCATTTTGATTCCACACCACTGTATTTCTCATTGAGCAAAAGTTTGTGGAAAGATGTTACGTGTCCATGTGTAATGGAAGCTGAATGTGCACGTAATGGAAAGCCGGTAGCATCATTCCGCTAACTGATGACACAAGTTTAGGCCCCTGTCAGACGATAAGGTCGTATCGTGGTTTTGATCATTGATTAAACGTCTGTCCTTAAGCTTCAGTGGCTCTTTGTTCTGCCTCTGCTTTGGCTAATTGAAGTGGGTGGCGTTGTGGGTGTCTTTGGCCCTGAGACTAGTCCTGTGTTGACACTCAAGGTAAAGTTAGCAGATGAAATGTGACCTGGTCAGAATGGTGTTTGTCTAATGTGTTTTTGTGGCTTTAGTGTTGGTCACTTAAGCTGTTCTTCCACTTCCCTTGGTTTGTTTCATCATTAATTCAATTCAATTCAAGTTTATTTGTATAGCACTTTTCACGATACAAATTGTTGCAAAGCAACTTTACAGCAAATTAAGTTTCTACAATATTTAGTGGTAGCTTATCAGTGGTGACTCAGTTAATTAATATATGGCAGAAATGTACGGAAAAATCAATTAAAGACGTAATCAAACAGACGATGAACACTATTAACAGCAATGATTCTATGTTGCAATCAAACTTGTAGCAACATTTGGTCGTTTATGTTTCAGGGTTGGCATCATCTCTTCTCAGGTGTTCTGGATCCAGACTGAAGCTTGTGTAAACCCTAGTTACGCAAAAACAGAGAAACAAATAGAGACATAATTAACGTAGCTGCTGTTCCAACCAAGCACAATTGATTTAAGTAGCTTTTCTGCATCAGAAACAGGTAACATGTTTCGTAACTTGGCAATGTTTCTAAGATGGAAGAATGCTGTTTTTGTTACATGGGAAATATGATTTTCAAAAGACAAGCTGCTATCTAATATAACACCCAGATTTTTGACTGTAGAGGAAGTAACAGTACATCCGTCTAGTTGCAAATTGTAATCCATTAGATTATTGGTCATCCAATCTTTTACATTTTTAACACACTCTGTTTGCGTAGATAATTTAGAAGTTTAGAAGTTAATAATTTAGAAGTTTCATCTTGATCATGGTTATTCAAAGCTTGATCAAAAGCTGTTCTTATCTTCACCCTGGTTTGTTGTGTTCTTGAGCTGAACTATGTTGTCTAGAAAAGGTTTAAGTAAAAAAGCAGCTACATGCATCAGTTCCCAGTGGTCAGTCTGTTGTTGAATGGAATCAGGGTCTCGTACGGGAATGTTTAGGACGGAGTATGTTGTGGTAAGCAGTAATATTTTAACTGGGGGGAAGAGGAACTGATTTGAGTGCTGGTAAACTCAGCCAGTGGGGAAATGTTTACTTAAACACCTCAGCTGACTCTTAAACACTTAACTTGACTTAGGAGTTCAAGTTTATTCATAGCACTTAGAGGGTAAACATCTGTGCATTCACTGAGGGAATTTTATTTTTATTTTATTTATTTTATTTTATTTCTGTGCATCCATTGAGGGAAATGAATATGATTTTTATTTTATATCTATTTTATTGTATTTGTTTATTATATATATATAATTGTTTTAATTGTTTTAATTTGGTTTTATTTTTGTTTTTATTTTTTATAGTCGACATTTTTAACAAATGAATTTGTTTTTTAATTTCATTTAAGTGTACATCAGGTCATGCATACATGCCCTCTAATGAGTTATTAATATGCTAAACCTGCAGATCCAGGGCTGGGTCTCATTTTTTAAACAGCTGTTTTGAGGAGTAACATCCACTTAGTCATTTCATTAAAGATGATGAACCTGTTTATTTTATGTAAAAGTAGTGCTCACACGTCATTAGGTTGGTCATATCTTGTTTAGATTAATAACAACGATGCAGAAATTCAAGACTTGTTGCAGCACATACTATAGTCTGGGATTCCCCAAAGTTTCATATTGCTGAGATCATTTCCCTGTTACAGTAAACAAGAATAGGATGCTTGGAAATCATTCATAGTACAGGAATGCCATGCTCCTGTCACTTTCGATTGATCATAAATCCAGAGGATCATCAGAACCTCTATCTAATAATGATAGACTAAATCATTAAATTGATTAAATGAATAAACGCGCAGTAACAGTTTTGTAATGTAAAATATGATTTTAAGCTGATTGTGAAAGTCTTAAATGTACTTTTCTTAAACCTGTAACTGTTTCTGTGCACAAGGAATGAAGTAAACTTATTTTATAGGTCTTTTAAATCAAAAATATGTTGCCAAACCAACTGTTGGCTTTCTTTGAGGCACCAGGATGTGTTTCTGGGACCCTGCAAGCTGTCGTCTTCTCCCCTCCCTCTTTACATGTGACCCTCTGTCTTTAGCAGCCACACCTCTCTTTCCTGTCCCGCACAATGGGACTGGATCCTCCTAGTTGCCATGACGTTTGGGCTGTCCTATTCAGTAATGCAGGCAGACAGGCTCAGTCGGACAGCTTTACCTCTCATTGCAGGTTGAGAAGCATTGGGAAACTATAAAGGACCTAGTAGGGAGCCCTGATGCACTTCATATTTTTAGAAGGAAATGACCGGGCACTGAATTAAAATGAGTGATTAATAATTTTACACAATTCATTTTGTCTCAAGAACTCTCTTAACACCCATCCAGGAGTTGCAGGGTCTAAAGTATTTGTGTATCTGTTAGTGTTTTTGTGAGCATTTGAAGAGAGGAGGCTTTGAGTGATCGTCGCAGCTGGCTCTAGCATGGGTCAGGCTCCATGAACCCGGCTGAGAGATTACCATGGTCTACCTTTCATTTGACATGCCGCTCGCTTCCATGGTGAGTAGATCAGACGCTCTGGAAACCCTGTTCTGCTTCATAAATTCGCTGGTAATTCAGTCCATCCGCAGAGAATGAGAATCACCGGGTACAGCTGATCCTAAAGTGGGTGTCATTGCATGAGTTTGAACAAATTGCTTTTTTTAGCTTTTGGAGAAATTATTTGATTTACTGGTGCTGTGTAAAGTTTATCAAGGGTGTTGTTTGTAAGTTGAATTAAGTGGGGAAAAAAAGCTAAATATTGATTTTAACGATCCATGTAAATTATAGATGTATGGCTTTCAACAGAAAGATTCCTTTTGATGTGGCATTTGTTTTACCCATTGATGTTTATACAGTACTTTCTTTGTTGGTCGTGCGTAAAATAATTGTAATTGATAAAATCATAAAACAATCATAAATTTTTTATTTTTTTTTATGGCAGTAACTTCTAATTTTGTGCCAAAAGTCACTTTTTGTCTTGAATTTTCAATCCCAGTGCTGATAGTGTGGTTATAACCAGCAGTCAGACGTCCGTTGTCCATCCTCCTCAAAGTTAGGGACATTTCCTGACATCTGCGTCCTCATCCTTTCACCCCAGATTCTGCAAAAATCCCCTCATCAAAGCTCATCGTCTGCCTGTCTCTTTGCCTCTGTTCTAAATTTAGCACGGGGGGCATCGTGGCCAATCCACCATTCTTTTATTTCCTCCATTGCAGGGATGTTCTTGATTTGCCCTGCCAACAGAGAAAAGATAAATACTAATCATTTGACTTTCTGTTAATCAAAGAATCCTGAAAAAAGGTTTAAATTTTTTTTCACAAACATTAAACAGCACAACTGTTTTCAACATTGAAAATGATCATGAAGGATCATGTGACACTGAAGACTGGAGTAATGATGCTGAAAATTCAGCTTTACCATTATAGGAATAAAGTTTTTTTTTTTAATAGTAATAATTTTTCACAATATTCCTGTTTCACTGTATTTTTGATCAAATACATGCAGCACTGGTAAGCATATGGTCTTCTTTAAAAAACATTTTGAAAAGTCTTAGTAAAATATACTTTATTTAGAAATGCATTTAATTGTATAAAACACCTCCACAAGTCTCTGAAGTGTTCAAATCAAATACTTCTGTTATTGCAGCAGGTATCAGCTTCACTCGTGTTTGTTTAGGGAATTCCATTGTTTTGTCTTCAGACCTTTCCTGTTTTTTTGTGCATTCCCCAAAAATGTCGTAGTCGTCTCTGGAATTTGCAGGAGTTTTTAGTGGGTAACAGCACTGAGGGCAGTGGAATTCCCTATGCCCTGGCGAAGGGTCAACAAGCCCGTCTGCCTCCCGCTCAGAGAGATCACTACTTCCTTAGATACTAAACAGCTGTTTGTTTGTTAAACTCACCGCAGCTCGTAAGAGGGAATGCGTCTAAATAGAAAGATGTTGCAATGCTCTCTAGCAGAACAATTGCTTGTGAAACAATAGCAATCTTGATCTTTCTGAGCAGGGTTGCTGACCTCCTTGACTTTGGTTTGATGTAAAGGGGAAATTGTAACATTCAGCAGGATCTTATTGTTTGGAAAAATCAGTATGAATCATAATGCATTATTGTTTCTGTTTATGTCATCACTTTGTAGGAGCTCTATTTTTTCCACGTGTCCAGCTAGGGTTGGACGATATGTCATTTTAAATGATAAATTGGTAATATGCATAAAAAAATAGTTTGTGATGAAGAGGTCTGATTTAGAAGCAAAGCAAAAACTCACCAACCGAGTCAACTAATCCTAGTTATAAATTCATATTTTTTAAATTATTTTTTTTCTCAGTGTTTTCATGTCTCTTAAATATATATTCCACTGCAACTTACAATTGACAATTTAAAAAATTTATATAATATATCATTTTAATTATGAAAAATGTTAACAGAAAATATTCACATTTATGTATTTAGATGGTTATAAATGTTTTTATTTAAATAAATGTATTTATGTATTTAAGATAAAACTTAAAATTTACATTTTAAAAAATCTAAACAGAAAATATATACATTTTTATATATTCAAGTAAATAATTCAGTTAATTATTTATTTAGTTATTCATATGATTTAAATGCATTAAAATGTACATATATTAATATATTCAAATGTAATTAACCCTGAAAATAAATGTTTAGCTTTTTGGAAAAAAACTTATTAAAAAATTGTATGATGTGAAGTAAGAAATATTTACTATTCTGCACTATTTCTAGGTCAGGTTTTAACTTTAAAGATATTGTGATTACAAAAGTGTACCAACCCTTTTTTTCCAGTTGATTTTATTTTGTGGTTGTGGTTTGTTATCTTTAGATGAATGCTGGTACATTTACTTTATTTACTTCCACCCGTCCTATCTCTTTCAATCTTTTTCTAAATCTCTTGTTTACCTCTCTCACACACTGATAACGGTCTCTCTCGTACTCTCGGTCTGTTGTCCTTGACACACTTGTTGATATCCTTCTCCCAAATCTCTGTTTTTCTGCATTTGTTAACATTTTGTCATTCCCACCCAGATCTTACGATTTTCCATCTCTTCCTTCTCACAGGGTCAGGCCCGTCGGCGGAAGAACATGACAGAGTTTCTGGGCGATGCCAACATCCCATCACCAGACACTCTGGCCATACTGGGTGGGCCTTTACCAGGCGGGGCTCCAGGAGGTTCACTGCCCGGTGTGGCCGCCGGACCTGATAACTGGAAGAACCGTGCCACCAATCGGATCAGTGTGTTCTTCGGCGCCGGATCTGGGAAGGTAAACCTTATCTCACTCATCTTGAAAACCTCAGGAAGTTCAAGGAAAGCAGGACGTGATGGTGCAACTTTCCATGGTGTGATTTCCAGTAAAAAGATCTCATGTAAAGATGAGCCAAAGAAACCGAAACTCAAACTGGAGGCTGATGAAATATCTGTCTATAGTAGGTTGCACCATAATCTAGTTTCAAATAAACCTGGAATTGAATATTACGATTTATAAAAATTTTCTCCCCCTCAGGCCATTCAAGATGCAGATGAGTTTGTTTCTTCTTCAGAGCAGATTTGGAGAAATGTAGCATTACACTTGGTCTCCAATGGATCCTCTGCAGTGAATGGGTGCCGTCAGAATGAGAGTCCCAACAGATGATAAAAGCATCACAGTAATTCACATGTAGTCCAAAGATGAAGAAGTAATCCATCAGTTAACATCTTGTGAAACAAAAAGCCACGTGTTTGTAACAAACAAATCCATCAAGATATTTTTAACTTAAAATTATGGCTTCCAGTTGAAATACAAGTCCTCTGTCCATAGTATTGCTTTCTCCAGTGAAAAAGTTGTCTCGTCTGAATCAGGAGAGAAATATGCACAAATCAAGCAACATTTACAACCAAAAACAGTCTAAAGTAGCTCTAAACACAGATGTTGGTGGATTTCGATGTGAGAGGACAAGAAGATGCGCTTTTTCACTGGAGGAAGTGTTATTATGAATTACGGACACATATTTTGGCCAGAAGTGATAAAAAAGATAAAAGGTAAAGATAAAATGCCTTAATAATGGATTTGTTTCTTATACAAACACACAGCTTTTCACTTCACAAGACATTAATTGATGGACTGGAGTCGTGTGGATTACTTGTCGATTATTGTGATGTTTTATAAGCGCCTCATTCTGACGGCACCCATTCACTACAGAGGATCCAGTGGTGAGCAAATGATGTAATGCTAAATTTCTCCAAATCTGTTCTAATTAAGAAAAAAACCTCATCAACATCTTTGATGGCCGAAGAGTGAGCAAATTTTCATTTTTGGGTGAACTATTCTTTTATTAGATGACTAAACATTACAACAAACAAAATCACATCCCATAAGCCTTAATAAAAAAAAATTTTAAAAAACGTTTCGGCCTGCATTTACACCAGATGCTTAACTAATAAAGATGGTAGCTGTCACTCACCTGTCATTTCACGCTTCCATCCTTTTCACAATTAGCCATGAAACCCCCAAAGAAGACAGATGGGAGTGTTCTTGTGTCCCACTGGGACTCTGTTTCACAAAAGAAGGTTTAACCAGGGTCAAATCACCATCTCCAGCAGCCAGTACAGTCCACCTGTGTCTGGCCTCTATTGTTTGGAAGCACTCAATGCGTAATACTCGTTGTCATAAGTACACCGTCCATCCCATTACAAGGCAATAGCCCCAGCGGCACACGGGTCATCAGAGAGGGTCACTGACATGAATGGATGGTGTTTAATTGTGAGGTTAAAGAGAAGGTGGTGTTTAGTGAAAGGGGTGTTTGTAAGGTGTCATAAACCCTGTCGGGGGTGTTTTGTTGGAGCAGACAGGCAGTGCCTCGGTTGTCTGCCAGTTTTTGGTGGTCTGCTGATGTGAATTGTGCTGTGGTTTTGCTAAATTGCAAACTTTGTTAATGTTAGGGACTCTTTACAGTTGTTTATAGTTGGTTGGTTCTATCATTAACAAAACAAACTACTATGGGATTTTTGAGATATTTACCATTATAATGCGATGATTTTTGGACCATGGCAATACCTTGGCGTTCTTTGAAATATCTTCTATTATGAATAAGGTAATTATTTAGTACACTAGCATTCAAAATTTTGAGGTTGGTAAGATTTGTAGATGTTTTTGAAAGAAGTATCTTATGCTCACCGAGGCTGCATTTATTTGATCAAAATGACAGAAAATTACAATTTAAAATAACTGTTTTATATCTTAATATATTTTAAAATGTAATTTATTCCTGTGATGCAAAGCTGAATTTTCATTAGCCATTACTCCAGTCTTCAGTGTCTCATGATCCTTCAGAAATCATTCTGATATGCGGATTTGATATTTTTGTGGAAACTGATCAATTTTTTGGATTATTTGGTGAATAGAAAGTTTAAAAGAACAACATTTATTTGAAATAGATATCTTTGGTAACATTATAAATGTCTTTACTGCTACTTTTGATCAATTTAATGCATTGTTGCTGAATATAAGTATTAATATCTTTAAAAAGAAATCAGTTAAGCAACATTTTGTATTATATTATATTATGTATTACATTATTTTCTCGTTTTGTGTGTGTGTGTTAGGAGGTGGAGCGCGTGGAGCTGCTTCATACTAAGTTGCAGGCGTACACACAGTTCGGTCTGCCCAAGGTTCCTTTTCAGCTCGCCTTCCACCAGGATTCCTGGGAGGAGGAAGAGGAGGAGCCAAACCTGACACTCGAGGAGAGCTGGAGGCAACTGCTGGAAGACCCCGAGGTACTGATGCACTGTGACTGATCTTCTGTCATGGGACAATACATAACCATTGCCATCTATTGATCCTTCAAACTAACATGTGTACATAACCAATTACAATTATTGATTGCAGTGGCCTCAGTTTCGCATAAACCAATTGCAATTTGCATCCCAGAACTGCCAATATAAGATATCTATCTGATTTATAATATTTCACATGCGACTTTATTAGTGCAATCTGACTTTTTTCTGCCTGTTTTCAGAGTCTAAGTAGACGTCAGTTTCAACAGCAAGAGGCAATATGGGAACTGATCCAAACCGAGGCTTCATACATCAAGAAACTCAGGGTCATCACTGATGTAAGTCGCTTCAGCCGTTTAAATTTCTGTTTGTCAGTAAATTTCAGAAGATTCAGAAACACATTAAAGTTGCCCTTTTTAATGCCAATGTTCCTTGTCTTTATTGTGAGACTTATTCATATATACTATTTATAATCCAATCAATCCTAGTGAATGAAATCAAGTATTTTCCTACATTATTTCCCCCTAAAATAGTGTTTAGGCTATGTGGCCCTGTAGTGAAACTGGATGCTGATTGTGCTATTTGTGCAGCTGTTCCTGTGCGGCCTGCTGAATCTACAGGACAACAGTCTCCTGGTTGAGGTGGAGCCCCCGCGGCTCTTCAGCAACATCCATGACATTGTACGTCTGCACTCCACACTGTGGGTTCAAGTCATGCTTCCGGTGCTGGAGAAAGCGCGAAGCACACAGAGCTTGATCGACCCCGCGGACCTGCAGCAGGGGTTCAATACAGTGAGTTACACATGCAGGTGTTATTTAAAGAGACAATGATTTTCTTCCTCAGTATTTTTGTTTTGTTTTCCAGTACAAATGTCTAAACATTCTTAAATCAAGATGGATTTACTTGAGAAGCAAAATTACTTAAAGGAGACATATTATGCCCCTTTTTACAATATGTAATATAAGTCTCTGGTGTCCCCAGAATGTGTCTGTGAAGTTTCAGCTCAAAATACTCCACAGATCATTTATTATATTCACGTTTCCTTGGTTGGTAGATGCACCGGGGACCTGATTATAGCACTTAAAACCTGGAAAAGTCAGATTTTCATGATATGTCACCTTTAAGATAAGTCGTTTTCTAAAAAAAAGTATCAAAATTTAGTGACTTTATGCTTAAAACAATATAAAACAATAAGGAAAAATATCTGCCAAAGGGGTAAGAAATTTACTTTTAAAAAAATAGCTTTTAAAAAAAACACTTTAAATGAAAAACAAGTTTATTGTTTCAAGTTTATTGTAAGCTTCTCTTTTTTTAAGCATAAAGTCACTTAGTTGTGATTTATAATTAAAAAAAACGAGACTTGTTATCTTAAATCAAGATACAGTTATTTGAAGCAAAATGACAAGTCTGGTTTTCTGAAAAATGTGTCCAAATTAAGTGACTTTATGCTTAAAAATTAACTAAATTAATTTAAAAGGAAAACAAGTGTATTGTTCTTACCCCATTGGCAGGCATTTTTTCTTTTTATAAGTCATTAATTTTGATAAATTTTTCAGAAAACAAGACCTATATTATGTAATTTTGCTTCTCATTAATTGTACCTTGATTTAAGAATGTTTAGATATTTGTACTGGAAAAACAAGTCAAAAATACTGAATTTTTTTTGTCTTTTTGCATTTGTAGAAAACTTGACATTTATCATTTAACATAAATATATTTAATATATACATATAAAAGAATGCATTATTTGCAAAGCATCATGTTCTCTTTTGAAAGTCATATTTAAAAAAAAACGTCTGATAAATGTCTTTAAATCAGCAGTAGGGCTGTGCAATATATCGAAATTTCGCACAGCCCTAAAGCAGTTTCACGTACATTACAATGCATATTGTCAGAAACATCTGCTGAATTTTGCTCAAACATTCACATATGACTGAATGCTCTCGCCCACTTTGTTTAGACATATAGGTTAGATAAGTATGTGGAATAGTTACAGGCTGGTTGTAAAGCTGTTTATCTTCTGGTCGAGTGGTTAAAAGTGTCTCGTTTTTGTGTATAGTTTGCATCCAGGTTCCAGCCGTATAACCGGTACTGTATGGAGGAGGAAAGCTGTATGGAATACATGCGCTCGCTGCTGAGAGACAATGAACTCTTCAAGATCTACGTCACGGTGAGGAGTTTGAGAGCAAACAAACAGACGATATATTAAACCAAAGTAGTATAACTGAACAAAATGGCAAAATAAAGCAAACGAAATGTAAAAATGCACTTTTGCAATCATTGAATCTTTTATCATTGCAGTGGGCAGAAACAAATAAAGAGTGTAACCGTCTGAAGCTAGCGGACATGCTAGCCAAACCGCACCAGAGACTCACCAAGTACCCTCTGCTCCTGAAGACCATCCTGAAGAAAACTGACGACCAAACCTCCAGAGATGCTCTCAACAACATGGTTAGACATTTAAATTAGTGTGTTAGACCAGTGTTTCCCAACCTTTTTTTAGTCGCGGCACCCTTTGGAAATTTTAACAAACTTGTGGCACCCTACAAAATTAATTTTGTCACAATATTTTAATTTCTAACTTCGATGTGATAATTTGAAAAGTATAGATATTCGGTACAACAGGGAAGAACTGCAGAATATAATGTCATACAGATATTTTTAATATTAAAAATTGTCCATCAATGGTGGCAATCAGAAGGCTAATTTCTGATGAAGAGACCAATTTATATGACAGATTTTAATGTAGGCTTTTATACATATGTAAACATTATTTAATTACCATTATAACTAGCTATCTCACAAATTTTTGCTCACTCAGTGTTTTTTTAATTTTACAGTGGGGTAATTTTGGTGCAGTAGCACGAGATAGCTTGATTTCAAACTTTGAATTGAATAAAAAATGACAAGAAAGCAGTCAGTAATAAAATAAGAACAAATAAAGAAATTAATAATGATAGCACAAATAAAAAATAACGACAGGCCTTCGAATTAAATAAATTGCTTTTTAGTTTTTCAAGTAGGTCTAACAGTAGGGTTCAGATATTTAACAAAAAAATTTTTTTTAACCAATTATCCAAATAATGTTTAGTCCTAGAAAGCTATTATTATCAGAACACATGAGCATAAAAAGCGGTTAGCAGATAAATGAATGAGAAGGCAGCATTACCAGAGTTGCCCATATACCACACCATGTTACAACACAGTAAGGCTATTGCAGACAGAAACAATACTGTACTACATCGATGTTTCCTGTCGGCTCAATTTTTGAGTGGACTTTGCTGTTCCGATGAGCATGAAGCCGCGGCACCCCGGTTGGGAAACACTGTGTTAGACCATCGAATGTGCTAAATGTTTGTAAATGTACCCAGGTGGCGTGTGTGGAGAGCTTCATTAACAGTGTGGACTCTCAGATGCGCCAGAAACAGGAGCAGCAGAATCTGGCCACCATTTCGGCTCGAGTGGAGTCATACGAAGCCGTGGAGGGAGCCAGTGAGGAGGTGGAGAGGGTAAGAACTGTGTACAGTACAAATAATTCATTAGCTAGCCTTTGAATTAAAAAAAAAGATGTATCATTACAGTACAATATTATGGATTTCATAGAAATTTATTGTTTAACTCTTCAATCTTCCCTCATTTCTTCTTGCTGTATGTTTACAGGCTCTAAAGGAGTTCAACCGAATTGACCTGACCGCACCGATGATTGACACTTCACCAGAAGCGATCAGGCAACTGCACCTGGAGGGGGCGCTCCGCATGAAAGAGGGCAAAGACAGCAGGGTTAGTTCAGATTCAATCATTATCTTCAATTCCTCCAAATTTCAGATGCATTTGGAAACATTTGCTATGTAGTGTTTTTTTATTTATTTTATTTATTGTAAGCAGTAAAACTGTCCTTAAAATGAAATTCCAAACCTGTACTATTTTTAGTGCCGTCAAACGATTAATCGCGATTAATCGCATCCAAAATAAACGTTTTTGTTTACATAATATATGTGTGTGTACTGTGTATATTTATTATGTATATATAAATACACACACATACAGTATATGTTTAGAAAATATTTACATGTATATTATTTATATTACAGATAAATATATTTAATATAAAAACATAACATATTTTTCTTAAATATTAACATGTATGTGTGTGTATTTATATAGACATAATAAATATACACAGTACACACACATATATTATGTGAACAAAAATGTTAATTTTGGATGCGATTAATCGCGATTAATCGTTTGACAGCACTAATTATTTTCTTTCTGCTGTGGAAGACAAAAGAAGATATTTTTTAAAATGTGGGTATCTAAACGGTTTAGTTTCCCATTGACTTACATTGTATGGACAACAAATGGAATGGAAGATAATGAGAACCAAAACTATTTGGTTGCCAACATCCTTCAAAAAAAAAAGTTCTTTTGTGTTGAGCAGTAGAAATAAATGAATACCGGTTTTAAATTGACCGAATTTTTATTTTTGGGTGAACTGTCCCTTTAAGTTTCCTGAAAGTTTTAATATTGCTTGTAATGGAATATTTTAGTTTGTCATGTTTCACATGTATTTGTCTTTTCTTGCGTAGATGGATGTTTACTGCTTCCTTTTCACTGATCTGCTGCTGATCACTAAACCAGTGAAGCGTTTGGAGAAGGTGAAAGTGATCCGACAGTTCTTTTGTGTTGAGCAGTAGAAATAAATGAATACCGGTTTTAAATTGACCGAATTTTTTTTTTTGGGTGAACTGTCCCTTTAAGTTTCCTGAAAGTTTTAATATTGCTTGTAATGGAATATTTTAGTTTGTCATGTTTCACATGTATTTGTCTTTTCTTGCGTAGATGGATGTTTACTGCTTCCTTTTCACTGATCTGCTGCTGATCACTAAACCAGTGAAGCGTTTGGAGAAGGTGAAAGTGATCCGACAGCCTCTCCTCCTGCATAATGTGGTGTGCAGAGAACTTAAAGACACAGGTGAGCGTTAAACTGACAGACTGAGCCCACTTTTAACTACAGCATGCAATTAATATGACAAAGGAGGAGAAACAAGCTGCTTAAGATCTCAAGAGAACGTATTGTGAAGTTTTAGATTTAAAAGTAGTATGTTTCTGATTGTCTTTTCTTTTCCTGTCTTAGGCTCATTTGTCCTCATCTACCTCAATGAGTTCAAGAGCGCTGTGGCTGCCTACTCTTTCCAGGCCAACAGCGCCACCCAGGGGAAAAGTTGGACTGATGCGATTTGCAAAGTCCAGGTAAAATCATACTTGTCCATTGCCAATATTGATCTCTGTTTGACATTTCTGATATAAGTGTTCGCTCAGTAGAGAAGTTTGCTGATTTAGCTATTTTGTACATGCGTTTTAGAATCAGCTGCAGCGGTTGCGGTCAGAGGAAGCTCGCCGACAGAAGGCTTGTCTGAAGAAAAGACTAGTGGAAGATCAGGAGGAAGATGAGGACAGCTGTAACTCCACAGCTAGTTCACCTCAATTTAGACACAAAGATCAGAGCAATAGGTATTTTATTTAATTGATTTTGTTTTGTTTCAATAAATACATGCTTTTATTTTAAAACAACTATTTTATTTATTAATTAACATTTTAATAAATAATATTTAATATTTAATCACATTAACTTTTATTTTTAAATAATATATAAATGTTATTAAATATTTTGTTATTTTAAAATGTTTTATTTCAATAAATACATTCTTTTTATTTTATCAATTAATAATTTAAGAATATTTTATATTGAAATTATTTTCATATTTTAATGTAATTAATAAAAATTACTTATAAGATGAATAACTGCTTTCGTATATGTTCTAATTTTTATATAATATAATGTATAAAAACATTATAATACATTATTTTTTAATATTTTCTGTAAACCTGCTTTGTAAACAAACTAATTAAACAAATTGAATATCAAGGTTGACTCATTTAATTTAATTAAAAATAAATTTCATTAATTAGAAAAATAATATATTTGATTTAAAATATTCTGACAATTATTATATTATATTATATTATATTATATTACATATTGTAATTATCATTTTCTCCTTTTTCTTTTCTTTTCTTTTCTTTTATATTAATGCAACACTATCAATTAGTTGACCTGTTGGGCATTTTGTTTTACAATAAATGAACTTACATTATTGTTTCTCTGTCTTAGCCAATCAGATGGCTCCACAGAAACCCTGTCGGTGATGGATATGGATGAGTCTGGATCATCTTTGGATCCTTCTACTCTTCAGTCTGACCTAGGTGGGCATTCAGACCATGATGCCGGTCTGTCTCAACTCCCTGACTCTGCCGTCCCACAGGGGGCCACGGACTTTGAGCCCCATCCAGACAGTCAGGAGGGCTCAGACCTGGACCCACAATGCTGTTCCATGTCCATGGATAGCGCTTACGGGACCCTTTCACCAGAGTCCATGGTGGAAACCCAGAGTCGAGTGGCCCCGGTAGAGGAAAACGACTCCGAGGACGACAAGGAGACGATGGGTGACGACGGGGAAGATGAGGAGCAAGAAAATGCAGAAGAGGAAGACGATGAGGAAGATAAAAGCTCATTCGGATCTCAGAACTCAGTGGCGCTTTCTCTAAAGCCCCGGCGCCGACCGCCTGTCCAGTGTCGCCTGCCGTTTTTAGAGAGACTCGCCGTCAAATCCCGTTCCGAGGACAACCTGCTGTCCACAGTTCACCATGATAACAGTAACCACGGTGTCACCAGGGCAGCCACAGAGTGCACAGGAAGTCGGCACACGTGGGAACAGAGGGTTAAATATTTAGAAGCGCAGCTCAGCAGGAGCCTGACGGAGCTCAACCCTGCTGAATCAGACGAGTGTCTCCCGACTGATCCAGAGACGGATGAAAGTCACAGTCTCACTCGCAGCTTGCCATCAGGCATGCTTTTGGACACATTGAGACGAGCCAAAATTGCACATGAGGCTGGTAGCAACCAGATTCCCTGCAGTGCGTCAGACGGGGAGCTCTCGCCGCCCAGTGGCCTGGAGGGAATGGGCCGATGTAAGAGACCCCAGCAGCACAAAAAACTCACACTGGCCCAACTCTACAGGATACGCACCACACTGGTGCTCAACTCAACGCTCACAGCCTCGTAAGTGTCACGTTTGTGAGCGCATATGTATTTAAATATTGTTTTTTTTCAGTCTCAGAAATCACAAACTGTTTATTTCTTAATTAGGTTATGATATATATTAGTTGGTGTTTTATTGTATGGAGGAACTAAGATATAATCCATTTCTGTAGCTCTTGTTACAAAATAGCTTGATCCAAAGCAGGTTTACATAAAACAGAAAAATAAAATATAGTGTAAAAATATGGTAAAAGTTATCATGTAATATAATTTATCTTATTTATTTATTTATTTAATAAATTAAATGTACTTACTTTTTTAATTACATTTTCACACTTTTATTTTATTGTAACATTAGACCTTAGTATTCAGTTTTACAATATAGAATTCTCCAGATTTACAGAAAAAAGAAAAATGTTATTTGGAAAATTATTTTATAATATAATATAATTTAGTTTATTGTAATGAAAAAAATTTTTTTTTAAATAAATGAAATTATTTTTTTGTAATTTATTTAATTAAAATTGTACATTATTTTATAAAATTGTAAAATATTTTTTTTATAATGTAATAAAATATATAAATTCTATAATTTTATATTATATAAAAAAATGTTATACCATATAAGATAGTAGTTATTCATCTCAAATAGTAATTTTATATTGGTTATCAATTAAATCAAATTTTATAAAAATATGAAAAAAATACAATACCAGGATGATTGATTGATTGATTGATTTATCTATCTTTTTATTCTTTTTTTATTTGTAAGAGGCTGTAATGTAATTTGAAAAGATTTACCCATTTAATTTCTTTTTAATAAAATTTTTAAAAAAAACTTCCCTCAGAGAAAATGTTGGGCTCGGATTGACATTGGAACATTTTGTGTTGTGAAAAGTTCAGTTTTCTGACTCTTGTCATCTTTCTCCTCAGAGAAGTGTAGCATCTTTCTGGCACAGATGTTTTGGGACAACGTTGTGAGACTGAATTCTGCGGGACACAAATGCACTCAACCCAATGAGCTCTCCAGCTGCCCTCTCGCTCCCTCTTCCTGTCGGATGGATTCCTCCGCGTGTAGCTTTCCTGTCGTTTCTCTGCGGGAGGGGACGTCCACAGACTCATTAAATCCTTGCACTTTGTAAAACTTCTAAAGAGGTCAAAGCTTTTGGTGAAACTGCGCCATTATCAGAACGAGAACTCAAGACAAAATTATCAAAGAAAAAGTGCAACCGGAGCCCTTACCGTGGGACGTTTGAGGTTTCAACGGGTCACATGATGCCGAAAGGAAGTAGAAATGAGAATATGAGAATAAAACACAGCATCTTGGATTCCTTAATCACCCTGTTTGCTTTCTAAGAGTATTTCTGCTTCGAGGAAGGAAGTGATTCATGTTAACTGCACTACTATTATGTGACTGTGTGTGTGTGTGTTTATGAATGAGAACGTGTGCGAATTCACATGCATTTGTGTATGACTGAGTGAGTTATAATTCTCGACCTAAACCACTGTTTGACTTCAGATAACTTGAGTAGCCACTACGGCACGTTACGCATTAATTTAGGACCAGTGTTATGTTCATATGGCAGGAATACTTCTGTCATGCAACTGCTTATACTATTGAATCTTTGGGTTGACGCAGCTTATTTAAGTTATACATGAGCACATCAAACCCTTTACTGTATATTGTGTTTTGTGGGTCAAGTTGGATTCATAAACGCATGAATAATATCCAAAATGCTTCAGCAGATGTGTAGTTAAAGGCAAACCGACTGAAAAAAAATCTGTGTTTTGGTTTATAACATTTAAGGATTCAGGAAGCGTCGCCTGACACTAGATGAGCACTTATTAGAGATCATCTGACACTGAATAGGGTGTTGGGTTTAAGTGAAAGCTCATGTTAGTTTTCAAACATTAACATATGTATTGATGATTTATTGTTTGTTTTTTGTAATCTTTTGATTTCACAGATACTGCTGTTACCCGAAAGGTTAAACTGAAACTGCCTGGTGCTTTAACTAAACCGAGCCCTTCTGAACTCCCTTTTTGAAAAAAAGAAACAAACAAAAAAACACCCTGCCCAAAGTAAATATGGTGTATTATATGTTTACTTATTAGGCTTTTTGTGTTTGTCATATTTATTGAGCTTGTATTGTTTTATATATAAAATATGGTCTATAATAGTATCATTTCACTTTACGGTTGTATTTTTTGTTTCGTTGTCTTAATTTGTTCATTGTCATTTGTTTAATTAATTTTGAAATCTGCTAAGAACCAAAATAACCTTGTTTTCCCATGTGAGGGAGTGTTCCATAAATGTCTTTCAAAATAAAAGACATCTTTCAGTATTTGTGGATTTTGATGTGGCTTATTAGTGACTTCTGTTGTATTTACGATAGATAGATAGATAGATAGAGACAGACATACAGACAGATAGATAGAGACAGACAGACAGACAGATAGATAGATAGATAGAGACAGACATACAGACAGAGATAGATAGATGGAGACCGAGATAGATAGAGACCGATAGATAGATGGATAGAGACAGACAGATAGATGGATAGAGATAGAGAGATAGATAGAGACAGACAGACGGATAGATAGATGAAGACAGATAGATAGATAGAGACAGACAGATAGATGGATAGAGACAGATAGATAGATAGAGACAGACAGACAGACAGATAGATAGATAGAGACAGACAGACGGATAGATAGATGGAGATAGAGACAGATAGATAGATGGATAGAGACAGACAGACAGATAGATAGATGGATAGAGACGGACAGACGGATAGATAGATGGAGACAGAGATAGATAGATAGAGACAGACAGATAGATGGATAGAGACAGACAGATAGATAGATAGAGACAGATAGATAGATAGAGACAGATAGATGGATGTGTATATATATATATACACACACATACATACACATAAAATAAAAAAAAATAAAATAAATTGATGGAAATAAAATAAATTATTTGATAACATAAATTATTTAAATAATACAATTAGCAGTACAGTACTGTAGTGGGTAGGAATAAACATTTGGTAATGACATGTTTAATGTTGCAAATGATTTTTATTTTAAATAAATGCCATTGTTTTGAATTTTATATTCATCAAATAATCTTGTGTGTTTAATTAAAATATGCCACTAGAACATGTAGTTCTGATGCATAAACAACACATATTAACAAACATGATAATGTAATGTATGAGGTTATAGAAACAATACATGATCAAAATAATATTTTACACTATACACTATATAAATTGAGTCTGTACATCTGGCATCTAAAAGACTGAAAACCCCTGTCCAGCTAGTGCACCCTAAAAAACTTTCAGACAAAAGTAATTCCTCAATATGAGCACTAGAGTGAACTACCGAGTCAAAGTTAAGAATTTCCAGCACAGTGAAGCCGATTCATAGTAATTGAACTGGCTCTGCAATAGAAAGCTAATGGTGCTTTAGCTTTTAAGTTATTATTTCTCACTCAGTTTCCCAGTATATGTAGTATTTGGGGAGATATAATAACTTGCTAAACGTGCGTCGCTCTAAAAAAAGGCCTCTTAAGGGTAGTGAGTGATGACTACTAGTCATCTCAATGTTACTGGGTATTTCTTTATCATGTTTTTCTAGCAGCCAGACAGTCAAACATTAGAAAGTGTAATCTAGAAAGAGCTAATATGAGGCTGTATAAACAGTCCATCTAAACAGTTACTTCCAACTGATCTAAATTCAGCTACAACTACTAAATCTGCTGAGCATTGGCTATATGTAGACAGTATATATAATCAAAGACTGGGCGGCTTTGATTCATCATGCATTACATACAGCAGATGTCTACCACACTGAATATGTTTTATAGAAACATAAACACAAGATGAGATGCTCGGCTGTGTATTTACATGTGGCAGACGTTGAACCGTACATGGCCTCCTCTTGTATTTACTCTCAAACCGTTTCATCAGATGAATTATGTTTATTATCAGTCAGTTTTTTGACATTCGTGCATGTTCTTCAGATCTTTCTGGGTTGTTTTAAACTCATTCGCTCTCTGTGCACGGCAGCGGTTGGTATTCTGGGATGTGCGCGGGCCAAGGTGTATTTACAGGTGATTATATCAGCTAATCGGTGGATTACAGCATGTTGACTATACACAGAAAAAATACGTTACTCAGCAAGGATGCATTAATTTGATAAAGAATTTAATTTTAATTAAACACACACACACGCACATTTTTCATTACTTGAAAGGAAATGAACATTATCTAAAATTTAAAAAATTAATAAATGTCAGCTAGTTGACAAGGCAACATTTTAATTTAGTTTAACTTTTACTGAAATAACAAATGATAAAACTCAAATAAACAAATAAAATAATAAAAATAAAATCAATAATAAAAATGAGAAAACACAACAAAATTACTAAAACGTTAACCTAAATATATACATTTTGGGCATATTATACATTTTGAAAAGTGACAGTAAAGTTTCATTATAATGTTACAAATTTTAATAAATTTTAAATAAACATTAACTAAAATAAAATAAAGTATAAAAAACTATTTTTTTATTTCAGCTATAGTTGCCAAGGCAAAATAAAATCTCAATTTAAAGAGAGAGAGAGAGAGAGAGAGAGAGAGAGAGAGAAGACACACAACCCAATTACTAAAACTACAACCTAAACCAAGATGAAAACAGAAAATATAAACATAAAATATTCAAAATATTACATATTAATATTTTGACTATAAACTATAGTAGTATCTCAATGATACTAAAATAATAAATTATTATTATATAATATACTTAAATATATATCCCTCTAAAATGTGTAGTTCTGATGCAGAAAGCCACATATTAATAATGGACTCCTTCAAAACTCAATAAATAACAAATCGATGAAAAGATTAATATTTTTCTCCAATTAATTTGGTCATTTTAACTGACCAATGTCTGACACAAACGATCATGAACTCCTGCTTCTCTTTGTGACAGATGTCATAAAGCATCCTGTAAAAAATTGTCTGATTAACACAAAAGGGCACTTTGGTAAATCCAGATTATGAGAGCACTTTCCTTTATTAAATTATTTATTATTATTATTTTATTTAATTGTCATAATTATTTGTTACCACAAATAAAATATAATATTAATATCATATCAACGCGCAATGTTTATGGTTGCCATGACTATCAGGATGCCCTGGTTACTGTTCTGTCATAAAAGCGCTTGAATATTATATTTATTTTTGCAAGAAGTTTAGCTAATAAATTGTAGATAATAATATTTTTAATTTAATATTTTGAATATGTAATATTTAAAGCAGATGTAGCCTTACCACCCCCCCCCCAATCTTACTTTCGGGTTTGTATAATGGTGTGTTCAAGTCATGTCGTATAGATCGTATTTACGAGTTGAACGCACATGAACGCCACCACAAAGTCTTTATTACGAGTGGGAAACTCGAAATTTTCCGAGTTGGGGGCGTGTCAATGAGAAACATGGCGGAATCGATGGATGCAACATCTGTAGTTGATGGTAAATTTTTGTTTAAATTGATAGTTTAGTTGTCCTATAAACTTAAATTGGTCATGTTCTTGTTACGCAGCTGAAATCCAAGTAAAAAAATGCAGACCCTGTTGTATTTTCTTGTAATTTATTAAAAGAAGGTACACCGCCATCTTGTGCCGACTAAACTGACTTGAATGAACCTGACGTCTTAATTACGACAAAGTACGAACGTCCCAGGAGGACTTGAACGCAGCATAAGTTTCGGAGAGGGTTTTTTTTTTTTTTTTTTTTTAGTTTTGGGGGGTTTTTTTTTGAGCAGCACATTTTTAGAACGGCATGCCACACGCAAGACAAAAGATGCAAGCGCAATGATGTAAGATATCCATCTAGAGCAGGGGTCGGCAACCTTTTTGACATGTGCCATTCAATTTTTTCTTGGCAGTTACTGTGCCATATCAACATTAATGTTTAATATTATGGTTTATTTATTATATCACAATATAATTGTTCAGTAGATTTAAACGGTCAATAAACATAACACGCATAACAGAAACAAAATTTTTATTTTTGGGGACAAAAAGCAGCAAAAAAGCATTAAACATTAAATTAGTGATCAAAGGCGTCTTTCCAAACTGTTTTTAAGAGAACACTGACATTTATGTTAAGTTTACCAATGGAACAATATTAAAATAAAATGTTTTAAAACTGTTATAAGCTGTTAGGCAAGCCATCAAATAAAACCTCTGCGCTAGAGAGGAAAGCATCCTTAATGTATTCTCTGTCCGTGAATGGCTTTCCATGTTTAGCAATGCAATGAGCAATTCGGTAGCTTGCTTCAGTAGCATTGTTTTTAGACTGAGCAAAAACATGGAGAGTACTGGTTTGCTTTTCATAATTGGACACAGTGCGCCTGATGGACTCTGCCTTATCTGTCTGATCTGTAAAGGATTTCTCGTGTTTTGTTTCAAAGTGGCGCTTAACACTAGATGTGCAGCACACAACATTTTCGAAACACAAAGTGCAAACGGCACGATCTTTTTGAAAAATAAATCCATATTCTTCTCTCCAAGACGGCTGAAATGACCGAACATCAACTTTTGCTTTCTTTTGCGTTGCCATTTGTTAACCTCGCCTGCAGGAGCTCGGCTTTTTCCGGAGAGAATCGTAAAGCTGTATCTTTCTTTTATAAATATGTTCAAACTAAAGACTTTTTGGAGATATGAAGGATGCAGTACGACTCTATAGGTACTCAAGATTAACATGATATTGGGTGAAACTGTGTGTGTTATGCCCCCTTTAATGTATTACTTAATTGTCATTATTTGTTACCACAAATATAATATAATGAAAAATATGATGATTAATAATAATGAATAATTATTATTATATTATTATGTTATTATTATTATTATAATTATTTTTATTTATTTTTTGTGATTATATGTCACCACAAATAAAGATAAATATATAATAAATATAAACAATAAAAAGCATCACAAATGATTACTAATAAGGTTGACATAATTCATATGCCATAAGGAACCAGGCCTGAGTTTTCTGGTGGTTTTTTGTTTTTCTAAATTACTTCTGTGTGGCTTAATATTTAAGCTGTTTTTCTGTTCTGATTCTGTCCCATTAGACATAACATATGTCTGCGAGCTCATAATCATTACTTAGGTGTTTTGAAAAATGAAAGTGACCATACGGCACAGTTTATAAAAACAACTTTACAGAGATTACTGTTATTGTATCAGCCTTAAGGAGCTTATTGTCATTCCACTATTGTATTTTTAAGGAGGTTAATG